CTATTGCTCATTGGCTTTTCCATCGAATGAGGGCTGAATTTTTTCAATTATTTTGATTTTTTATCAAAAATCAAATTCCCCGTGGAATCCTATACTTTTGAAAACATCACGTCCTCGTGCATTATATTTATGCTTGTGTAAATTAAATACTTGATATCAATGTTGATGGATATACTCGCAAAATATTTATTGGCAAGAGTCGAAAATTGTTAATATTTACCGCGGTACTCTACCATGGTGGAGAAAAAAAATGGAGTGTATAAACAGGGGCATATGAACTCGAGTTGGATGGCAGTAAAATTTATTAAACTGGAAAAACTTGTGACTTGGGGTAAAAAAAAAAATTCAAGCTCACCCTGAAATACGCGGAATTCATGAGAAATTTATAATTTTCCTTGCCCTCGTAATTTTTTTTACTGCAAATGCCAGAACAAGCCGTTAAGAGAGAAAACGCGACGCGACGATTGAACGTCAGGACAAGTTTGATTGCGAATTGTTGGCGAATGGGGCGTCTAGTTGCGAATATTTTTTAATAGTATTTAAAGAGTAGTTTGTTGATTCACCCTCCGAGGGTGAATCAAGGATCGGAATAAAGTGCGACTTTCAGACGGGGCTACCTATTTTAAATTCTTTTTTCAAATTTTTTTTTTTCATGTTTACCGCGGTCGCGGGGCGTGTGCGCTCGATAATACGCATGTTTGCGTTGGTCGCCCACGCCCTCTGGCACTCTCTCAAACAAACGTCAATGTACCAACACAACCCCATTCCTTTTCGTCTGCACCACATCCGCATTAGATAACAAAAACATTACATAAACGGCAACACAATTATCCAACACCCAGCGCCAATGAAAAAATTTTCAATTCACCTCAACGTCAAAAAAATCCACCCCCACATCGCCAAATTAATTCACTAAACAATTCACCATCAGCCCAAAGTAATATAAATAATAAACGAGTAATTGCTCCACGGGTTATTTATCCGGTGTTTAGTGGAAAATTTCTTCTCCCATGTTGGCCGGAGGTCATCCCGTGCTCATGGTAATTTTTTATTATTTCATTCTGTACGTGCAGACTCGAATAATTTTTCATCAAGCCCTCCCCCTCTCCACCCGGGCTTTTCCATTGGTCGAGTGAATGTTTTTTCTTCATCCAGTAATATGCAAAATTTAACTGATGGCGAAATCTAACGAGTATGGAGTGCGGTGCTTGGCGCTGTAAACTCTCCCTTTTATGATGCAGTTGACGTCCCATCCCCTGGTGTACAGGTTCAATCTAGTAATATTGGAAGGCATATATAAAGTTTCATGTATGGGTGAACTATCCAATCCCATCGAGAGGTCAGGGTGAGTGAGAAAAACTTCGCCTACGTTGCAAGCCTACGTGGGATGATCCCCTATCAATATTTGACTTTTTTTTTTGTTCAATCTTTTTATTTTCAGTCGCTAAAAGTCGCTAAAAAATGGTGGATTTGTCACTGGGTGTTGCTATTGTCCTCTGCGACACGTATACAGTATTTTCTATTGTATTGTCTCGTCCATGCGATATAAAAATATCCCATTTTTCATCCACTCAAAGAAATTAATTCTGTCCAGGTTTTTCAGACTTAAAAAATACTCTCATTATCGGAAAAATCAAATGACAATTGATTTTGGCTGAATTGTCATGGGATTTTTTTTTTCTTCCCGCAATTTAATCGAGTATTGCCGTTTAATGGGAAAGCAATGTTGTCAATTTATTCAGCATCAAACCGCGATTATATCCATTAATTCCACTGCATTAATAATCGCTAGCTGGCAATTGTGACTGAATAAATTTAAATACATTCAATTGTAATGTTTATATGGAATGGAATAGCCATGACTACTGCGTACAATGTTTGCACTGTTCAACCGCCTATATCCATGATCGCACAATTTCATCTTGTGTGTAAATAGGTACAGCAACATACATTACACGTGCTCCTTTGCCTATCTGACACGTTATGCTACTCACGTTTTCACATCGTCTCGATGATGCATCGGTCGCACCTTTTCACATGAATTTTTATCCATGCCCTACCACGGTGAAAAATACCATTGCAAAGTCTCGGTATAAAGCCATTTGGCTTCTGGATAGAAAGAAATATTTAGGACATGCACGCCTTCTCGGTAGAGAAACAAAAATTCTTTTCATTATGGATGAGTATTCTGAATAGAGAGAAGTTCATTTGATAGTCAACTTTGGCCCCAGTAGTGGAATGCTTTTATAGCTGCTATTATGTAATTTGAAAATCCCATAAATGTTTCGTACACGGGGGAATATAAATCTCGTGAAATAGTCATATTTTTAGTTCGTCGTATTTACAATGGTGAATGGGGATATTCTGCATTTTTCAAAGAAAACCGGACATGCCATAAAACTGTGGTATGCCGACGGGATTTAAGTATAGGAAACAGATCGTCCCAGGATGCTCCCCCCGTCCAACCACACATCGCACGACGCTCATAAATCCTTCCATGGAATTTTCCGGATTTATACATGCTCCAGGTACCTTCCACCGCCATTTCTAATGAATAGCCTTTCTCTGACTATTTATTTCTCGATTTTTTTTATCCATAACTAATCCACCGATCCACTGATTACTACAGTCGGTTTAGAATTCTTATGAAAAAATCTTGGGATGTGGAAAATTGGATTTAGGAGGATTGGATTTTTCTCGAGGGAAAGTGGGTTGAGTCTAATATTCGAAAAGGTTCTGATGAAGTTGTTACACATGAAAGGATAGACTTGAATTGTTCATGGGGTGTAATGTACAGGTGTATATAATGAGAGAGTGAGGGACGAGGCAGAGCCAAAGTTGCAACTCACTGAGTAATAATTTATCATGTCTCCACCACTTTGCGAATTGCTCAAAACCTAATTTCTGAGTTGAAAGGAGAGAAAATGTCGCTGGTGGTATGAGTTTTTCTTTCATTTTTTCCCCAATGTTATTTCGAATTTTTCATTATTTTCAATATCAAGTAAACTTGATTAATGTCAAACTTTTCAGTTCATCATACATTCAATATTCCATCGAATGCATGCGTACTTTAATTGAATTTTTAATTAACAATTACGGGGAAGGAGAGCGGTGGCTATTTAACGATAAATTGGCAGCATTGCAATCCAATAATTTGATGCACATTGTTTCCATTAAAATTCCCATCATTTTCTGCTTCCGCGCTGAATCATTGTATTCGTCAATTTCAAAATATACAATTTTCCACGTTTGGATGGGTAATTACAGCCCGACAACTCCAATTACTCCATTTCTCCATAAAATTTCATATTTCTAATAGAATTCGAAGTGAAATGTCACTAATTCCTCAGGGAAGAAAGTCCAGTTTAAGAAGTACAAAGGCCTGTTTGCCTTTCTTGTATTTGCCGAGGGGTTTCTTGTGCGAGCGTTGAAAATTTGTTTACGAGGATGTACCGTAATTCGTGATGGAAATTTCCATTTCCCTGGGTCAGACCTGGGGATCTCGACGAGCAAAACCCGGTAAATCACACAAGGACCCAACGGCTCCTTTTTCTCTCTCAATTCCGTTACACCTTTTTCTTTCCCCAATATTTTTCCACCATTTTTATTTACTTCAACACACTCGTCCAGCAACTCCCAAGACTCTCCCCTTTTATTGGCTCTTTTCTCTCATTTTTTTTTTTCCTTTTTCGTTTTTTTTTTCTACTTCTCTGTTGTACCCCACTCGTCTCTTTCTCTTCTTTCGTGTTACCCATTCAACTCTAACCCCCCATGGGTGCAAAACCGAGGTATTCCGGCCTTCTGTCTCACTCTCTCACCCTTGTACATCCCTCCGCAGATGTGGAATTTTTACTGGAATCTCTTGGTATGGAACTCCTGACGAGGGTTTTCTACACGGTTGCATTAAAGGTACGCTCGTTGCCTCTTTAAAGGAGACATGATATTCCAAATTCACGTGCATTTCACGGTAAAAACGGACTTCATCAACCTCGAAAAATTCAACTCTGGGAATTTGAATTCTCAGACCTTGCGTTTCAATTTAACGATTGCGTGGAAATTCTTCACTGGGAATTTATTGCGAGGGCAGTGAAAATCTCGAAAAATTTGTCAGAGTTAATTTAATGGTTTTTTCTGGTACGTGACAGTTTACAAATGTTAACTGTTCGGTTGTTTACGGAAAAACGAACGTTGAGAATTATTGCTGGGTATTTATTGGTCATACGATGATTCTGATATATCAATACTGCATTGGGTTTTTACAACTGCTATTTTCATTCGTTTTCAGTCTGGGGTACGTGAATATTCTCTCAAATTGAACCAGTGAATATTGCATGTTGCAGGGGAGAATTTGAAATTTAATACTCGGTTTTAATAATTCAAGGACGGATTAAGTCAACACGTGAAGTGCTATTTGAATTAATTTCAAGCGCAACATACTTTTCATCATGAAATATTTCCCGATGTTCTGCATCTCGTGGAAAATCCCACCGATATTTCAATTTATTTTTCAGTAGCAAAAACTCAACCGGAAATCAAATGCCAATTTCAATCTCTTGAATCATGTGGAATTGGAGCATCACGAAGCCAAAAAATTCGTTAAATTGTCGCGTAAATTTAAATTGTTGACATTAAATAATCAATGGATTTTTTAAAACACAAAATAACCCGTTAATCTCACGTTTCTCGTTGAGTTTGATTGCACACGTGTTGTTTAATTCTCATACAATCGGTCAGAGCAGCGCGTATTAATCACTGGCATTCATAAACCCCGATTTCCGGCCTCTTTATTCCTCAAATAAAAATGCAGATGAAATTACACCGAGAGCATTACGATTTTAATCACTAAACACGCAACTATCGTAGCAAATGGTTTCATAGATCTCCCGATTAGATCATTTCCGTGGCACGTGACGAGAGTACAGACTTGTTACATATCTATTGTCTAGACTCCAATACTCTATATTAAACCTAAAAAATCGTTATCGTTCCATCAGACTCACCATAAGACATCCCAGTAGTTTATTTACCCGGACAACCTCTCCATTCGTTATCATTCACATTCCAGAGCACTGGAGTTTTAAAAAACCCCACGAGTGATGAATGAAGCGCTCCAAAAATACACAATCTCGTAAAGAAAAACAAAGTCAACAATAACACTCACAACAGAACAGGTCTGTTCTTTGCCCCTTGTAGGTTATGTTCATACATCTGGCGTTACTACACAACAGGCCCCCAGATTCATTCAGAAAAACTGAAAGTACCAATGAAATCATGGATACAATTATTACAGCAGTCACTCCCCAAATGGTTTAAAAAATAATAATGAGTAACGTGAAATTTAACGGTGTAGGTGTTTAGCGATTTGTCGGTTGTTTTTTTTTCTTCTCATTATTTCAACGGTGAAAATATTGATAATACAAGCCAGACGAGGGATTTGAACATGCTGGCAACGCGACCGGCGTTGAACTGCCGCTGGAAGAGTGAGAGACACGTCGAGAGAGCGGGGGAGTCCGTGGAGGAAGGCGTTCGAAAGCTGGTGTACAACGGCCGGGGACTATTCGAGTTTCCCCACTCGTTTCCCCTCAACTTCTCCTACAGTCCCGGTGACTCCCCACCGAGTTAATGCCGACGAGAGAGTCCAAGGTACCTAGTGAATACGATGCAGAGGGAGATGTGGAGTGATGCTCCAACACGCCGTCGCGAGTTACGAACACATGGAACCACCTGGTACCCGCGCTCTCCATTCCTCTCACTTCAATCGGATTGTTCAATGTATACGTTGTCTCGGTTCCTCTCGTAACCACGTCGGCATGAGAATTCTTGCCAACACCCTGAAACCCGGCGCCCACGACAAACCAGAACACAGCACCATTCCCCTCTCCTCAATTTTGTCACGAGTTCTCGTCGCTCTGTCTCGATCTCTCTCTATCTCTCCCTCGTTGTCTCGTTGCTCTCTTGTTGGTACTGTCCTTTTCTCCACTGGTCTCACTCCGAGATATTGGGGGTACGAGGGGAAAATTTGGAGAATTCAACATTCCAGGGCGCATGCGTTTTCGTATCATTCCGTCTCACTTTTCAGTTGGTTTTTGTTGGAACCCGTGATGTGTGTACTTCTGACACGCGGTCGCACCCAAAACTACTGTGATCGTCATATTGACGTTCGTTGCACTCGAAACCTCGGAAAGATGGGCCACTGGCGCCCTGAGGGTCACCAACTTTTCTGGTGCCAATGTCTATCCGCGGTTGCTGCCTGTCGTGTTGAGATTTTTTTTTTTCTTGCGGGGATGAATTTCATAGCCATTTGCAATTACCAAACAACTTGGTCATATCGATATTGAAGTTTTTCTTCAAGTTTGAGACTTTTTTCAAGTCTGAGGAATGACGATTTGGCGTCATTACAGGGCGGGCAAAAATTTCTGGTGCTCCTCCTTTTATTTGACTTCTCAACTTGTGATCTGAAACATCACTGCTATTCTGTTTGATTCCCTCGTTCGTTCTCCGCGAAAATGGCGAATTTTTCCATTAGTCGAAGAATGTCGGCGACCCTTTCTCTATTTGCATAAGGCTCATAATAATGAGTGTGGAAAAAGAAACTCATAACGGCTGAATAAACAGAAAGTGATTGGAGGAACGTACTAATTGAGAATCCATGAACTCAGAGTTCTCCGAGCATTGCGAAATGAAAATAAAATTGGTATCGGTAGTAGTATGGAAAAAGGTCCATGTAATTGCACTTCGTCACTCGATTCTTCTCGCACTTATTCGATTCCAATAATTATAAAAAATCTCTCCATGAAAAATGCTTTCATCTATTAACGCGATTTTACCTCGAGTCTCAAGAGCGCAAAAAACTCGTTTCTGCCGTCAGATGAATTCACTATTTACTCCCGATTGATGCAAATTAAATCAACAATTAATATGAAAAATCTCATGTATATTCATGGAATCGATAGCTCGACGATTGATTGAAACTATAATCACATAAATATGCTAATGAAATGCCGAGACTCGGGAGTTAACGTCAACTCGGTGCTTGAGATCTTGTTCGACCTTTTCCATGGGACTGTCAGTTGAAATTACTGGAAATTTGTTGGATGTGACTATTGCCGAAGTTGAGGGATGGATGCATGTAACAGGAATATTCCAGGATGCCTGTGTGCCGCAAACCACTCCAAGGATTTGTCCAAACGCTGTCTGTCTGGAGCGACAACTTTGGAGGTTGAGTTTGCCAGGTTGATGATACCATGGAAAGGGTTAAGTTTACTTCAGTATGAGAGAATACCCCTGCGGCAACTTAGTGGGCTCTCTCGTTAACTCGGTATACTATTAGTTATCAAAGTAGCTCAATTTTTAAACCCCATTAATTCAATTGCCGGTTAAATTCCGTTGATGTCTAGCCATGGAGATGACTGTGTTAACTTCAGAGAGTTGAGCTTTAGGTTCGATGCACTCCGATCAAAACATATAATAAATTTTACTCGACCCATCGATTTCCTGAATATTCCTAAGGCACATATTTCAGTTAATCAATTTTCTGTTTGATATTTCGTCAAAATTCCAGGGAAATTTTCCCTTTTTTCCTCTTTAAAAAATCGAGTTGCATTCATTAAATTCATTAAATTCATTGTTAATGGTAAATTTTCTATATAATGTGAGTGAGTTTGGTCGGCAGCTCAAGATATAGATGTACTCGATATCTTGGTGGAATATAAACGAGGATGGTTGAGTTGTAAATCAGCGGGGTGAGTGTAGTACGCGAGTTGAGGCCAAGGACTCCAAACAAAATCCATAAATTTCCGCTTTGCCGCGCCCGGTGGTTTCCGTCAAAACTTTACCAAGTTCAGAAAAGTATATGGCATTTCCGGTGGGTTGTAGTGCACTCTTTCGGGTTATCGGTGTGAGAAAAGAGGAAAGCGAGTTGGTGCACACGTCCAGGAGGGTTTTTCTTTGGTTGGCGAGGGTGTAGGGGATGGGAGTTAGATATAGAGCATCAGTGAGGCTTGCAGCATAAATAATGCAGGGTACCACCCCATCTCTTCTTTTTATTGGCATCTGGAGGGCTTTTCGCAGCACAAAGGAGACAGGCCACCCTCAACCCCCAGTACACGGGGAATTTGAAAAGTTTAAGACTTGCTGGGGGAGTTATAAAAAAATTTTCCATCAAATCCTCGAGTGAGTGAATTATCCAAATGTTAATGAGTTAACACATATCCGTCATGTTAATCAATTTCTCGGTATAAAATCTACGATGAAATGAATGAATCTCGGCCAGTGACATTCAGCAAAGCTTTCTCAGCTCTCCAACAGTGCGGCTTTTGTAATTTAACTCCAAATTAACGCATCCTAATTTTCGTTCAATTCCCTGTCCGACGTTGTGGAAATGCACAGGCCGGGTATTCCTCGGTTGCAGTTTGTTAAAACGAGTTTCGATAAAGTTAAAGCGCCGTATACGCTCGGCTACCCTTGGCATCGTTTTCTCTCTCAATTCTATATCCCTGTACCTCCCTCATCCACCGGGTTTGCCCTTTCTCCTGTGACACTGCATTCAAACATTTAGATAACTTCCCTCGATGGCCACCAATTCGAGTGTATACCGGAAGTGTGCGAGTGCCTTCGAAAGCTCAGTTAACTCTGCACTTCTAAACGCCTTGATATATTCCCTTTATCCAACGGTAATCGGCAAATTTCTGCATCCACTCTATCTAGTTTTAGATGAGAAGAAAAAAAAAATGCCTTTCCTTAAGCGTACCGCAATTCCCTCGAATTTCAAAAATTTTCAGCGCTGAAAAATTTTACGATTTATGGAAAACGTGCGGGAGATACGAAATTATCAATTTCCATCCGAACGAGTTTTCCGACATGCCTCTGATTTAACAGGGGTATACATACATTTGATGCGTTCACCGATAAATTTTACCATCGGACAAAATCCTCGGGATTCACCTACACATGTACTCCACGTGTAATGCTTGGTTACGTCTCGTTGCATATTTTCAGCCCTTGACAGTTCCATGCCAAGGGTAGGAGAGAAAAAAATATTTTTATTTCATCAGAATAGACGTAAGCAGGTGAGACCGTGGTACGTACGGTTCATTAAATTAATTTGTCCCACCGTAATTTCATATTATACAAACCCCTCACCATCAGTCTCACCCAATTGTCCTCATGTCCCACCGTATTTTCCATATCTCACAACCCGAATCTAGGTGCACCAGATGCTCGTAAACGTGTCAAACGCGCATCACGATTCTCTCGAAATCTGCGTTCGAAACATTTTCGAGAGCGCGTGTTCGTGCTGGGAATTTGACGGTATTGCCTACAATCGGTTGAATGAAGAGGAGCTGTTGAGGGTGAAAGGGTTGGAGGGCAAATGGTGGTAAAGTGGGTAGAAGAGATGATGGAGGATCAGACAGGGGTGTGAGAAAATACTTCGATTTTCATCACGTATCTGGAGTCAAGGGGAGGGGGAGGATAAATCCATATTTTTTTTTAATCGTAATTTATGACTGAGGACGAGACCACTGACTCCAACTGGCTTCGATTGCCATCCGAGTGCTCCTCGTTATTGAAAAAAACGTTATCCTCGAGTCAGTCTGACGTGCGCCGGGAGATGGAAATTTTTTGGGTCAAAAATTTTCGTATACTCCGGGATTGATGGAACTAGGGGATAAATCGATGGCTGGGTAGACGGGACATTTTAATCAAGTTGGGGAAGAATAAAGAGAGAGAGTTTATTTCACATACATTGTTCTAATAGATAATAATAAAATCCTCGAGCCCATGAGACGTATCGAAATGAAAAGGAAAAAAAAAATTCAAGTGAAACCCGCGCGATTCCCATGATTTCGTAATTAACTACTCCCTTGGGAGGGATTCCCTGACAATAGAAAAACTTTTATCCCCTTGTTATCGTTATTCCTGGCTGGACGGAGGGTATGTATGGATCAGCGATATAAACATGGACATGCACATAACGTATCGTAAAGCACGATAATTCGTGATGATCATTACCAACGTAACAGTACGTACAGTCTGATATAGGTGCAGTGACGGGGCATTAATGCGAGAGTTTGGCCCTGTGTTATAATCGTTGATTCCCTCGTACCCCCATCGTAGCCATCACACCAGGTATAACGCTACCAACGTCACCTGGAAATGGACAGGGCCCTATCCCATAGACCTATCCTCAACTCTAGATTCTGGTCTAACGGTATCCGAGGCACGTACAAGCGATAATCTACCAGTCGATAACTTACTGGCCGAATTGCTCCTCTCAGAATATACCTCCTCCCTCCTCCTCACCTCAAATTGTCTCAGTGCCTCAACACCCCCGCATTAAGTACCAGTAACTAACAAGGTCCTCACCACTCTCTCCTTGAACACCTAGTCTATTAGAAACTCCGGCGAACCTGTGGCGTATAATATAGTGAATCTGATTCGATCAATCATTACGATGTAATTAAGCATCACGGTGGATTACTCTAATAGCCTAATTAGTGTTAT